AAGCCGTTGGCCCCGGGCCCCAGGCTGCCGTGGGGCCTCTCTGTGTCATGGATGATTTTCAGGGCCTCCTCGATGCTCGGCGGGGTCGACAGGCTGACGGGGCTGCTGCCGCCATTGCCGTTCTCTGGGAGAACGCCATTGGAATATCTAGATTAACAGACGGGTATGATAATTTATTAGACACGTATCCATAGCATCTAACAGTTAACATGTATGTAACATATTTACATTCAATATATATGTCCACCTTGCAGACATTAAAACCCACAACTCTCATGTACTACCAACAGAGCCATCAGACGTACCTGCTCTGGTTCCTGTGTGGCTGAGTCTGCCCGCGCCCCAGTGCTTTATGGGAGTTGTAGTTTAGTGAGTCCCTGTCGTAGTCCTCCTCAGGTATGTGTCCGGCGCTGCAACCCTGACCGTTAACGCTGACCGGCTGAAAGGGGAGTTGGCGCCTCATGCCCCCCCGAGGTGCGTGGTGAACTTTGAACTCCCCCAGGCCCTCTGTGCTGGCAGAGCGGGTCATGCCTCGGAGGGAAGGACCCCGACAGGGAGGGGCGCTAGGGTCCCCTTCCAGAGGAATCTCAAAGGAAATGCCCCGAGGCCGTCTGTCCTTAGGCCACGTCCCCACACAGCCGTCCACATAGGACATGGACGCCGACCTCTTTATCACACCTGCCAGGAACAAGGAAATCGATTAGCTCCACTCACACAGAGAACCAGTAGTAGTTCAGATTCTTCAGCCAGATAAGACAAAGGAGTGTTTGTGATTCTGAGGAGAGGGGTAGGTAGTTCCTGTGTTCTTACCTGAAGCAGAGTCTGGTTGAAGCCTGAGAGTGGGGGGGGGAGAGAGAGTATTCTGATAAAGCTCAAGAGCATAACTCCTGTAACTGCTGAGTTGAACTATGCTGGACCTTTCATAACCTTGTTCAATAAGAGAACATTTAATAACTACAGGTCGTTATATTTGTCCACTCAATATTAAATCATACTTGTTGTCTTCTGGGCTGTCAGGTCTGTCCCCAAAGTCCTGTTTGGCTGGGCTACACATAGCACCCATAGTCCTGGATGAATGGGCAGGATCCCACGCTGGGTACAAACAAACACCAATCATTCTTCAGGATTCTCAAGTCAATAAAGGTCTGTGACGTGATCTGAGTTCTGGTGAAAACTGATATGTGTGATATGTGATATATGATATAATGTGATATGCAAATGCAGTTGATTATCTTCATAATCCCAATCATCATCATCCTTTTTGGCTTTCCCACACCAATATCCTTACCTTGTGGGTCAAAGACTCTGGGCTGTACAAACGAAGGCTTCACCACTTCAAACCACCAGAACAGCTCTGCCATAAACACCAGGTAGTTACTCTGCAACAGGACAAAACACAGCATAAACATCAGGTAGTTACTCTGCAACAGGACAAAACACAGCATAAACACCAGGTAGTTGTTCTGCAACAGGACAAAACACAGCATAAACACCAGGTAGTTACTCTGCAACAGGGCAAAACACAGCACACACACCAGGTAATTACTTTGCAACAGGACAAAACACAGCATAAACACCAGGTAGTTACTCTGCAACAGGACAAAACACAGCATAAACACCAGGTAGTTACTCTGCAACAGGACAAAACACACCATAAACACCAGGTAGTTACTCTGCAACAGGACAAAACACACACACACAAGTTAGATACGGGGAGAGGAAATGTAATACACCCAAATAACTGCATTTGTCCAGAAGGTGTCTCTGTTGAGACAAGTCACAGAGGATGCAACATCTTGTATAGTGGCTGGTAGATTACATTTAAGTCATTTAGCAGACACTCTTATCCAGAGCAACTTACAGGAGCAATTAGGGTTAAGTGCCTTGCTCAAGGGAATATCGACAGATTTTTCACCTAGTCGGCTCAGGGATTAGAACCAGCGACCTTTCGGTTACTGGCACAACGCTCTTAACCACTAAGCTACCTGCCGCCCTAGATCAATGATGAGGTCAGGGATAGCAAGTAAAGCTGCCTCCAAGCTACCTTTGTTGCTAAGTAACTGAGTGTGTGTGTGTGTGTGTGTTGGTGTTGGTCTGTGTGTGTGTGTGTGTGTATGTGTGTGTGTGTGTGTGTGTGTGTGTTATTGGCAGCCTCAGATTGCTCCGATACCTCAACATCTAGTGTATAGTGAGAAAACTGATGAAATAACCAACTGATATATATTGGAGTGTAATATATATACACACACACACACAACACAGAGTACAGCCCAAATATGGCTTTATTCCTTTCATGATTTAATGGTACAAACAGACTAGCTCTGGAGACCATCCAAGAGTCATTCATTTGTTGAGAGCTTTTTCACCCACTTCTTTTGACTGGGCCCCTGTCTCTATGGAAAAGAGGGTCTTCATTGACCACAACCTCCCAACAAACTAAGACTGGACTTCAGATTTCAAAACATTGTTGCTTGGATATTTCCCTTTGGATTGTCAAGAGCTTTTGGACATTGAATTGAGTTTTGAGTCTAGGACACCCACCCACACTGTGGCGGTCTGGTTAGTGGTTCTGGAGGAGGTTTGGCCAGGAGTGAGTTGGCTCCATGCCAGGGCCTTTGGCTGCTCTTCAGGATCTGTTCTATCACTCTCTGACCCTCCCTGAGGCGCTTATAGGACTGTGACCAGTCTATACACACCCAGTGGTGCATGGTGTGTGTGTGTGTGTGTGTGTGTGTGTGTGTGTGTGTGTGTGTGTGTGTGTGTGTGTGTGGGTGTGTACGACAGGCCAAAGGGGACCCTGTGTCCCCTATTGGTTGTGTGTGTCTCACTAAACAGGAGGTTGGTACACACATAAGCAGTCTAAGGAAAGGACACAGTGCGCCAACGGTCAGGGGCAGGATCAAAATCCCAATTGGTTCTGACTAATGTTCCTATACTACATGTTACGCATTCTAAGGGTCTATAACCAGATTACATGGTTACATTACATGGCTACATTGCATGGCTTTCTATCTGTTTCTCTCTAGTCTATGTCCTGTCACACTGAAAACACCTCAGTGGACTGACAAACATTCAGTATGAATGAGCAGTAAATCAGAACACATTCTGTATGAATGCGCAGTCAATCAGAACACATTCTGTATTATTTGTAGCACATTAAGAATCAACAGTTCTTTACAGACAGTTTTGTCTTCCTCTGATAGAAAAGGGCAAAACAACAGAACAAGAGGGGCAGGGAGAGACAGGGAGAGACAGGGAGAGATGGGGAGAGACAGGGAGAGGTCAGGAGAGACAGAGAGCGACAGAGAGAGACGGGGAGAGATGGGGAGAGACAGGGAGAGACAGGGAGAGGTCAGGAGAGACAGAGATCGACAGAGAGAGACAGGGAGAGATGGAGAGAGACAGGGAGAGACAGGGAGAGGTCAGGAGAGACAGAGAGAGACAGAGAGAGACAGGGAGAGATGGGGAGAGACATGGAGAGACAGGGAGAGATGGGGAGAGACAGGGAGAGATGGGGAGAGCTGGGGTGAGACATGGAGAGACAGGGAGATATGGGGAGAGACAGGGAGAGGTCAGGAGAGACAGAGAGCGACAGAGAGAGACAGGGAGAGATGGGGAGAGACATGGAGAGACAGGGAGAGATGGGGAGAGACAGGGAGAGATGGGGAGAGCTGGGGTGAGACATGGAGAGACAGGGAGAGATGGGGAGAGACAGGGAGAGACAGGGAGAGACAGAGCGAGACAGGGAGAGATAGGCACAGAGATAATAGCATGCCACTTCTCTAAGCAGCCTGTCTGTCTGTCTTAGGGGGAGAGCTTGACTAGCTAGAGGGTCCCGTCTGTTTTGGAATTGCAACACACACACACATACACACACACAGTGACTCACACGCTTATTTGACTTCGCGGAACAGTCAGTGTGTCAAAATGGGCCCCTCCTACACAAACACACACCCACACCCAAATCATTACTAACTCTATGCATCATTACTAACACTATGCATCATTACTAACTCTATGCATCATTACTAACACTAACTCTATGCATCATTACTAACACTAACTATATGCATCATTACTAATCCTATGCACCATTACTAACCCTAACTCTATGCATCATTACTAACTCTATGCATCATTACTAACTATATGCATCATTACTAACACTAACTCTATGCATCATTACTAACTCTATGCATCATTACTAACTCTATGCATCATTACTAACACTAACTCTATGCATCATTACTAACTCTATGCATCATTACTAACTCTATGAATCATTACTACTAACCCTAACTCTATGCATCATTACTAACCCTAACTCTATGCATCATTACTAACTGATATGCATCATTACTAACTCTATGCATCATTACTAACACTAACTCTATGAATCATTACTAACCCTAACTCTATGCATAATTACTAACACTAACTATACAGTGGGGGAAAAAAGTATTTAGTCAGCCACCAATTGTGCAAGTTCTCCCACTTAAAAAGATGAGAGAGGCCTGTAATTTTCATCATAGGTACACATCAACTATGACAGACAAAATGAGAAAGAAAAATCCAGAAAATCACATTGTAGGATTTTTTATTAATTTATTTGCAAATTATGGTGGAAAATAAGTATTTGGTCAATAACAAAAGTTTCTCAATACTTTGTTATATACCCTTTGTTGGCAATGACACAGGTCAAACGTTTTCTGTAAGTCTTCACAAGGTTTTCACACACTGTTGCTGGTATTTTGGCCCATTCCTCCATGCAGATCTCCTCTAGAGCAGTGATGTTTTGGGGCTGTCGCTGGGCAACACGGACTTTCAACTCCCTCCAAAGATTTTCTATGGGGTTGAGATTTGGAGACTGGCTAGGCCACTCCAGGACCTTGAAATGCTTCTTACGAAGCCACTCCTTTGTTGCCCGGGCGGTGTGTTTGGGATCATTGTCATGCTGAAAGACCCAGCCACGTTTCATCTCCAATGCCCTTGCTGATGGAAGGAGGTTTTCACTCAAAATCTCACGATACATGGCCGCATTCATTCTTTCCTTTACACAGATCAGTCGTCCTGGTCCCTTTGCAGAAAAACAGCCCCAAAGCATGATGTTTCCACCCCCATGCTTCACAGTAGGTATGGTGTTCTTTGGATGCAACTCAGCATTCTTTGTCCTCCAAACACGACGAGTTGAGTTTTTACCAAAAAGTTATATTTTGGTTTCATCTGACCATATGACATTCTCCCAATCCTCTTCTGGATCATCCAAATGCACTCTAGCAAACTTCAGACAGGCCTGGACATTTACTGGCTTAAGCAGGGGGACACGACTAGCACTGCAGGATTTGAGTCCCTGGCGGCGTAGTGTGTTACTGATGGTAGGCTTTGTTACTTTGGTCCCAGCTCTCTGCAGGACATTCACTAGGTCCCCCCGTGTGGTTGTGGGATTTTTGCTCACCGTTCTTGTGATCATTTTGACCCCACGGGGTGAGATCTTGCGTGGAGCCCCAGATCGAGGGAGATTATCAGTGGTCTTGTATGTCTTCCATTCCCTAATAATTGCTCCCACAGTTGATTTCTTCAAACCAAGCTGCTTACCTATTGCAGATTCAGTCTTCCCAGCCTGGTGCAGGTCTACAATTTTGTTTCTGGTGTCCTTTGACAGCTCTTTGGTCTTGGCCATAGTGGAGTTTGGAGTGTGACTGTTTGAGGTTGTGGACAGGTGTCTTTTATACTGATAACAAGTTCAAACAGGTGCCATTAATACAGGTAACGAGTGGAGGACAGAGGAGCCTCTTAAAGAAGTAGTTACAGGTCTGTGAGAGCCAGAAATCTTGCTTGTTTGTAGGTGACTAAATACTTATTTTCCACCATAATTTGCAAATAAATTCATAAAAAATCCTACAATGTGATTTTCTGGAGAAAAGAAATCTCAATTTGTCTGTCATAGTTGACGTGTACCTATGATGAAAATTACAGGCCTCTCTCATCTTTTTAAGTGGGAGAACTTGCACAATTGGTGGCTGACTAAATACTTATTTTCCCCACTGTATGAATCACTACTAACACTAACTCTATGTATCATTACTAACTCTATGCATCATTACTAACTCTATGCATCATTACTAACACTAACTCTATGAATCATTACTAACTCTATGAATCATTACTAACTCTATGCATCATTACTAACCCTATGCATCATTACTAACCCTAAATCTATGCATCATTACTAACTGATATGCATCATTACTAACACTAACTCTATGAATCATTACTAACTGATATGCATCATTACTAACCCTAACTCTATGCATCATTACTAACTCTATGCATCATTACTAACCCTATGCATCATTACTAACTCTATGCATCATTACTAACTCTATGCATCATTACTAACTGATATGCATCATTACTAACCCTAACTCTATGCATCATTACTAACTCTATGCATCATTGCTAACCCTATGCATCATTATTAACTCTATGCATCATTACTAACCCTAACTATATGCATCATTACTAACTCTATGCATCATTACCAACTCTATGCATCATTACTAACCCTAACTATGAATCATTACTAACTGATATTTTTTATTTTTTATTTATTTAACCTTTGTTTAACCAGGTAATTCAGTTGAGAACAACTGCGACCTGGCCAAGATAAAGCAAAGCAGTGCGATAAAAACAACAACACAGAGTTACATATGGGGTAAACAAAACATAAAGTCAAAAATACAACAGAATATATATATACAGTGTGTGCGAATGTAGTAAGTTATGGAGGTAAGGTAATAAATATGCCATAGTGCAAAATAGTTACAATTTCGTTTAATACTGGAATGATAGATGTGCAAAAGATGATGTGCAAATAGAGATACTGGGGTGCAAATGAGCACTCTGACAACTGACGCTTAAAGTTAGTGAGGGAGATAAGAGTCTCCAGCTTCAGAGATTTTTGCAGTTCGTTCCAGTCATTGGCAGCAGAGAACTGGAAGGAATGGCGGCCAAAGGAGGTGTTGGCTTTGGGAATGACCAGTGAGATATACAGTGGGGGAAAAAAGTATTTAGTCAGCCACCAATTGTGCAAGTTCTCCCACTTAAAAAGATGAGAGAGGCCTGTAATTTTCATCATAGGTACACGTCAACTATGACAGACAAATTGAGGAAAAAAAATCCAGAAAATCACATTGTAGGATTTTTAATGAATTTATTTGCAAATTATGGTGGAAAATAGGTATTTGGTCAATAACAAAAGTTTCTCAATACTTTGTTATATACCCTTTGTTGGCAATTACACAGGTCAAACGTTTTCTGTAAGTCTTCACAAGGTTTTCACACACTGTTGCTGGTATTTTGGCCCATTCCTCCATGCAGATCTCCTCTAGAGCAGTGATGTTTTGGGGCTGTCGCTGGGCAACACAGACTTTCAACTCCCTCCAAAGATTTTCTATGGGGTTGAGATCTGGAGACTGGCTAGGCCACTCCAGGACCTTGAAATGCTTCTTACAAAGCCACTCCTTCGTTGCCCGGGCGGTGTGTTTGGGATCATTGTCATGCTGAAAGACCCAGCCACGTTTCATCTCCAATGCCCTTGCTGATGGAAGGAGGTTTTCACTCAAAATCTCACGATACATGGCCGCATTCATTCTTTCCTTTACACAGATCAGTCGTCCTGGTCCCTTTGCAGAAAAACAGCCCCAAAGCATGATGTTTCCACCCCCATGCTTCACAGTAGGTATGGTGTTCTTTGGATGCAACTCAGCATTCTTTGTCCTCCAAACACGACGAGTTGAGTTTTTACCAAAAAGTTATATTTTGGTTTCATCTGACCATATGACATTCTCCCAATCCTCTTCTGGATCATCCAAATGCACTCTAGCAAACTTCAGACAGGCCTGGACATTTACTGGCTTAAGCAGGGGGACACGACTAGCACTGCAGGATTTGAGTCCCTGGCGGCGTAGTGTGTTACTGATGGTAGGCTTTGTTACTTTGGTCCCAGCTCTCTGCAGGACATTCACTAGGTCCCCCCGTGTGGTTGTGGGATTTTTGCTCACCGTTCTTGTGATCATTTTGACCCCACGGGGTGAGATCTTGCGTGGAGCCCCAGATCGAGGGAGATTATCAGTGGTCTTGTATGTCTTCCATTTCCTAATAATTGCTCCCACAGTTGATTTCTTCAAACCAAGCTGCTTACCTATTGCAGATTCAGTCTTCCCAGCCTGGTGCAGGTCTACAATTTTGTTTCTGGTGTCCTTTGACAGCTCTTTGGTCTTGGCCATAGTGGAGTTTGGAGTGTGACTGTTTGAGGTTGTGGACAGGTGTATTTTATACTGATAACAAGTTCAAACAGGTGCCATTAATACAGGTAACGAGTGGAGGACAGAGGAGCCTCTTAAAGAAGAAGTTACAGGTCTGTGAGAGCCAGAAATCTTGCTTGTTTGTAGGTGACCAAATACTTATTTTCCACCATAATTTGCAAATAAATTCATTAAAAATCCTACAATGTGATTTTCTGGATTTTTTTTCCTCAATTTGTCTGTCATAGTTGACGTGTACCTATGATGAAAATTACAGGCCTCTCTCATCTTTTTAAGTGGGAGAACTTGCACAATTGGTGGCTGACTAAATACTTTTTTCCCCCACTGTACCTGCTGGAGAGCAGACTACGGGTGGGTGTTGCTATGGTGACCAGTGAGCTAAGATAAGACTGGGATTTGCCTAGCAGTGATTTATAGATGACCTGGAGCCAGTGGGTTTGGCGACGAATATGTAATGAGGGCCAGCCAACAAGAGCGTACAGGTCACAATGGTGGGTAGTATATGGGGCTTTGGTGACAAAACGGATGGCACTGTGATAGACTACATCCAATTTGCTGAGTAGGGTGTTGGAGGCTATTTTGTAAATGACATCGCCGAAGTCAAGGATTGGTAGGATAGTCAGTTTTACAAGGGCATGTTTGGCAGCATGAGTGAAGGAGGCTTTGTTGCGAAATAGGAAGCCGATTCTAGATCTAACTTTTGATTGGAGATGCTTAATGTGAGTCTGGAAGGAGAGTTTACAGTCTAACCAGACACCTAGGTATTTGTAGTTGTCCACATACTCTAGGTCAGACCCGCCGAGAGTAGTGATTCTAGTCGGGTGGGCGGGTGCAAGCAGCGTTCGGTTGAAGAGCATGCATTTAGTTTTACTAGTGTTTAAGAGCAGTTGGAGGCTACTGAAGGAGTGTTGTATGGAATTGAAGCTCGTTTGGAGGTTTGTTAACACAGTGTCCAATGAAGGGCCAGATGTATACAAAATGGTGTCGTCCGCATAGAGGTGGATCCGAGCGTCACCAGCAGCAAGAGCGACATCATTGATATACACAGAGAATAGTCGGCCCGAGATTTGAACCCTGTGGCACGCCCATAGAGACGGCCAGAGGTCCAGACAACAGGTCCTCCGATTTGACACATTGAACTCTATCTGAGAAGTAGTTAGTGAACCAGGCGAGGCAGTCATTAGAGAAACCAAGGCTATTTAGTCTGCCAATAAGAATGCGGTGGTTGACAGAGTCGAAAGCCTTGGCCAGGTCGATGAAGACGGCGGCGCAGTACTGTCTATTATCGATCACGGTTATAATATCGTTTAGGATATGCATCATTACTAACACTAACTCTATGAATCATTACCAACTCTATGAATCATTACCAACTCTATGAATCATTACTAACCCTAACTCTATGCATCATTACTAACCCTAACTCTATGCATCATTACTAACCCTAACTCTATGCATCATTACTAACTCTATGCATCATTATTAACTCTATGAATCATTACCAACTCTATGCATCATTACCAACTCTATGCATCATTACCAACTATATGCATCATTACTAACCCTATGCACCATTACTAACCCTAACTCTTTGCATAATTACTAACTCTATGCATCATTACTAACTCTATGCATAATTACAAACTCTATGCATCATTACTAACTCTATGCATCACTACTAACCCTAACTCTATGCATCATTACTAACTCTATGCATCATTACTAACCCTAACTATATGCATCACTACTAACCCTAACTCTATGCATCATTACTAAATCTATGCATCATTACTAACTCTATGCATCATTACCAACTCTATGCATCATTACCAACTCTATGCATCATTACCAACTCTATGCATCATTACCAACTTTAAGCATCATTACCAACTCTATGCATCATTACCAACTCTATGCATCATTACCAACTCTATGCATCATTACCAACTATATGCATCATTACTAATCCTATGCACCATTACTAACCCTAACTCTTTGCATAATTACTAACTCTATGCATCATTCCTAATTCTATGTATAATTACTTACTCTATGCATCATTACTAACTGATATGCATCACTACTAACCCTAACTCTATGCATCATTACTAACTCTATGCATCATTACTAACTCTATGCATCATTACTAATTCTATGTATAATTACTTACTCTATGCATCATTACTAACTGATATGCATCATTACTAACACTAACTCTATGCATCATTACCAACTCTATGCATCATTATCTTATTCAAATAACCCCTTTCAGCCATTTCTCCACACATACCACTCAATCACACATTTATACAGCACCACTCTACCTCCAATGTCAACACCCCATTTCCCTCCCTACCTAACTAACCAACCCAGTCCTGGCCCCCCTGGTCCCCTCCTGTCCCCCCAGACCTCCTCCCCTGTCCACAGCCTCCCTCTCTGTCCTGTCCCCCCAGACCTCCTCCCCTGTCCACAGCCTCCCTCTCTGTCCTGTCCCCCCAGACCTCCTCCCCTGTCCACAGCCTCCCTCTCTGTCCTGTCCCCCCAGACCTCCTCCCCTGTCCACAGCCTCCCTCTCTGTCCTGTCCCCCCAGACCTCCTCCCCTGTCCACAGCCTCCCTCTCTGTCCTGTCCCCCCAGACCTCCTCCCCTGTCCACAGCCTCCCTCTCTGTCTTGTCCCCCCAGACCTCCTCCCCTGTCCACAGCCTCCCTCTCTGTCCTGTCCCCCTGGTCCTACCTTGATGGAGGAGTGGGCATAGAGCACATCCTCCCTGGTCCTCCTACCTTGATGGAGGAGTGGGCATAGAGCACATCCTCCCTGGTCCTCCTACCTTGATGGAGGAGTGGGCATAGAGCATGTCCTCCAGGGAGAAGTGGCAGCAGTGGTTGAGGTTGTCCCTGCAGAACTCCTGCACCAGCTGCAAGTTGTACAGACTGTCAGCCAGCGACATGGTCTCCTTCAGACAGATATCTGGAGGGCGCAGAGAGGAGAGAGCACAGGGGCGGAGTTAAGAGTTAGAGTTTAAGGGTTTGTTTTCAAATGCAATGGAAAAGCTTCAGCAATGCATCAATGGGTTGTTTGTTCTTGATATAAACGATATACGTATACAGTTTATATAATATATATTATTGAGAGTGGCAATGGTCTAAAAAACATTGAAAAGGATTTGTATTTGTACTTTATTAGAAATGTACCTTTTATAAAGCATTTAGTATTATTTGTAGTATTTGGCCAGAATAACAGTGGGAGGAGGCGGGGTTAGAAGGCAGGGGCGAGGGCGGGGAGAGAACAAACAGCGGAACAGAGACAATGTTGTCATGATGGGGAGAGCCCACGCAGACTAGAACGAGCTGAAGAAGGATTGGGACAGTGATGTCATCAGTGTCCAGATTCTTCAGGAAGTACAGTATTTCCACACTAGGAGTCTAAATGAAATGTTAAGTGACATGGAAGTGAATGAAATGATTGTAACAGCTGGGTCATGCATAGCCTACTGTAACAGTTAATAATATTTACGGTATATAATTCACTGTCCAATCCTTTAGAATATCTGATTGTAGTAGCACACAGAGCCATCTATATACGACTGGGCACAAGTAGAGGGGGTGGAATTGTTTATTGTTAAAAAAATAAAAGTCAACGTTCTCCTCTCATCCAAAGGACTATGCTGCTATTAACTCCTGACCAATCACGTCTCAGTCTGGCCCTGGGGCATTATTTGAATAGTGGGTGAAGTCTGGCCCACTGGCTACTCTATCAACAGGCTCAGAACTGAAACATGCCACTACATTCTCTCTCTCTCTGGCAGTCTGTCTCTGGCCGTCTGTCTCTCTCCCCCGTCTCGCCATCTCTCTCTCTCTCTCATGATATGCATTTCAGTCAGGTTTAATTGTACATCCCCTAATGACACCATTCCCATAATAAATCTGAACCTCATGGATCTGAACATTTGATGGTATTGGCCAAATTGTACACATTGACTTCATCACCAGGGGCTAATCTTCTTTCCAACGGAATCCTTCCGTATCCTATCTCCTGGGCAGGATAGTGGATAAGTCATATCTACTGGGCAGGATAGTGGATAAGTCATATCTACTGGGCAGGATAGTGGATCAGCTATTCTCCCTCTTCTCTGTGTGGGTTAGCTATTTATTTATTTATTTTTTAGCATACACTCTTATCCAGAGCGACTTACAGGAGCAATTAGGGTTAAGTGCCTTGCTCAAGGGCACATTGACAGATTTTTCACCTAGTCGGCTCGGGGATTAGAACCAGCAACCTTTCAGTTATTGGCACAACACTCTTAACCACTAAGCTATCTGCCGCCCAAGATTTAGCTAGTATCTGTAAGACTGAGGTCATGGTGATAAGGGAGGTTCCAGTCAGGTGGGGTTATTTCAAGGTCAGGGGTCATTGTCTTAGAATAGATCCTGTGATCACACTGTGGGAGAATTCTGTTGTCTACATGTCTAATAAAAAAACAATATAGCTATTGATGGTACTTTTCATGTATTATTTTAAATAATTGATGGTGTCAATGAGTCCATCTGTAATACCTTTACAGCTGTTATCTGAATACTTAATTATGGACACAATAGTTGGCTGTAAAAGAATGCCAATTTTTTCTATTTTAAAGAAGGCTACAGGTATGAAGTGATAGAATAACCTTCCTGTACGGTACCGTCCAGTCTGACAGAGAAGGCTCCAGGTATGAAGTGATAGACTATCCTTCCTGTACGTTACCTTCCAGTCTGACAGAGCAGGCTACAGGTATGAAGTGATAGACTAACCTTCCTGTACGTTACCTTCCAGTTTGACAGAGAAGGCTACAGGTATGAAGTGATAGACTAACCTTCCTGTACGGTACCTTCCAGTCTGACAGAGAAGGCTACAGGTATGAAGTGATAGACTAACCTTCCTGTACGGTACCTTCCAGTCTGACAGAGCAGGCTACAGGTATGAAGTGATAGACTAACCTTCCTGTACGTTACCTTCCAGTTTGACAGAGAAGGCTACAGGTATGAAGTGATAGACTAACCTTCCTGTACGGTACCTTCCAGTCTGACAGAGAAGGCTACAGGTATGAAGTGATAGACTAACCTTCCTGTACGGTACCTTCCAGTCTGACAGAGCAGGCTACAGGTATGAAGTGATAGAATAACCTTCCTGTACGGTACCTTCCAGTCTGACAGAGAAGGCTACAGGTATGAAGTGATAGACTAACCTTCCTGTACGGTACCTTCCAGTCTGACAGAGCAGGCTACAGGTATGAAGTGATAGAATAACCTTCCTGTACGGTACCTTCCAGTCTGACAGAGAAGGCTACAGGTATGAAGTGATAGACTAACCTTCCTGTACGGTACCTTCCAATCTGACAGAGCAGGCTACAGGTATAAAGTGAATGACTAACCTTCCTGTACGTTACCTTCCAGTCTGACAGAGCTGGCTACAGGTATGAAGTGATAGACTAACCTTCCTGTACGGTATCTTCCAATCTGACAGAGCAGGCTACAGGTATGTAGTGATAGACTAACCTTCCTGTACGATACCTTCCAGTCTGACAGAGCAGGCTACAGGTATGAAGTGACAGAGTAACCTTCCTGTATGGTACCTTCCAGTCTGACAGAGAAGGCTACAGGTATGAAGTGATAGAACAACCTTCCTGTACGTTACCTCCAGTCTGACAGAGAAGGCTACAGGTATGAAGTGATAGACTAACCTTCCTGTACGGTACCTTCCAGTCTGACAGAGCAGGCTACAGATATGAAGTGATAGAATAACCTTCCTGTACGTTACCTCCAGTCTGACAGAGAAGGCTACAGGTATGAAGTGATAGAATAACCTTCCTGTACATTACCTTCCAGTCTGACAGAGCAGGCTACAGGTATGAAGTGATAAAATAACCCTCCTGTACGGTACCTTCCAGTCTGACAGAGAAGGCTACAGGTATGAAGTGATAAAATAACCCTCCTGTACGGTACCTTCCAGTCTGACAGAGAAGGCTACAGATATGAAGTGATAGAATAACCTTCCTGTACGTTACCTCCAGTCTGACAGAGAAGGCTACAGGTATGAAGTGATAGACTAACCTTCCTGTACGGTACCTTCCAGTCTGACAGAGCAGGCTACAGATATGAAGTGATAGAATAACCTTCCTGTACGTTACCTCCAGTCTGACAGAGAAGGCTACAGGTATGAAGTGATAGACTAACCTTCCTGTACGGTACCTTCCAGTCTGACAGAGCAGGCTACAGGTATGAAGTGATAAAATAACCCTCCTGTACGGTACCTTCCAGTCTGACAGAGAAGGCTACAGGTTTGAAGTGATAGACTAACCTTCCTGTACGGTACCTTCCAGTCTGACAGAGCAGAATACAGGTATGAAGTGATAGAATAACCCTCCTGTACGGTACCTTCCAGTCTGACAGAGAAGGCTACAGGTATGAAGTGATAGACTAAACTTCCTGTACGTTACCTTCCAGTCTGACAGACAAGGCTACAGATTTGAAGTGATAGACTAACCTTTCTGTACGGTACCTTCCAATCTGACAGAGCAGGCTACAGGTATAAAGTGAATGACTAACCTTCCTGTACGTTACCTTCCAGTCTGACAGAGCTGGCTACAGGTATGAAGTGATAGACTAACCTTCCTGTACGGTATCTTCCAATCTGACAGAGCAGGCTACAGGTATGTAGTGATAGACTAACCTTCCTGTACGATACCTTCCAGTCTGACAGAGCAGGCTACAGGTATGAAGTGATAGAATAACCCTCCTGTACGTTACCTTCCAGTCTGACAGAGCAGGCTACAGGTATGAAGTGATAGAATAACCTTCCTGTACGGTACCTTCCAGTCTGACAGAGAAGGCTACAGGTATGAAGTGATAGACTAACCTTCCTGTACGGTACCTTCCAGTCTGACAAAGAAGGCTACAGGTATGAAGTGATAGACTAACCTTCCTGTACATTACCTTCCAGTCTGACAGAGAAGGCTACAGGTATGAAGTGATAGACTAACCTTCCTGTACGGTACCTTCCAATCTGACAGAGCAGGCTACAGGTATAAAGTGAATGACTAACCTTCCTGTACGTTACCTTCCAGTCTGACAGAGCTGGCTACAGGTATGAAGTGATAGACTAACCTTCCTGTACGTTACCTTCCAGTCTGACAGAGCTGGCTACAGGTATGAAGTGATAGACTAACCTTCCTGTACGTTACCTCCAGTCTGACAGAGAAGGCTACAGGTATGAAGTGATAGAATAACCTTCCTGTACATTACCTTCCAGTCTGACAGAGCAGGCTACAGGTATGAAGTGATAAAATAACCCTCCTGTACGGTACCTTCCAGTCTGACAGAGAAGGCTACAGGTATGAAGTGATAAAATAACCCTCCTGTACGGTACCTTCCAGTCTGACAGAGAAGGCTACAGATATGAAGTGATAGAATAACCTTCCTGTACGTTACCTCCAGTCTGACAGAGAAGGCTACAGGTATGAAGTGATAGACTAACCTTCCTGTACGGTACCTTCCAGTCTGACAGAGCAGGCTACAGATATGAAGTGATAGAATAACCTTCCTGTACGTTACCTCCAGTCTGACAGAGAAGGCTACAGGTATGAAGTGATAGACTAACCTTCCTGTACGGTACCTTCCAGTCTGACAGAGCAGGCTACAGGTATGAAGTGATAAAATAACCCTCCTGTACGGTACCTTCCAGTCTGACAGAGAAGGCTACAGGTTTGAAGTGATAGACTAACCTTCCTGTACGGTACCTTCCAGTCTGACAGAGCAGAATACAGGTATGAAGTGATAGAATAACCCTCCTGTACGGTACCTTCCAGTCTGACAGAGAAGGCTACAGGTATGAAGTGATAGACTAAACTTCCTGTACGTTACCTTCCAGTCTGACAGACAAGGCTACAGATTTGAAGTGATAGACTAACCTTTCTGTACGGTACCTTCCAATCTGACAGAGCAGGCTACAGGTATAAAGTGAATGACTAACCTTCCTGTACGTTACCTTCCAGTCTGACAGAGCTGGCTACAGGTATGAAGTGATAGACTAACCTTCCTGTACGGTATCTTCCAATCTGACAGAGCAGGCTACAGGTATGTAGTGATAGACTAACCTTCCTGTACGATACCTTCCAGTCTGACAGAGCAGGCTACAGGTATGAAGTGATAGAATAACCCTCCTGTACGTTACCTTCCAGTCTGACAGAGCAGGCTACAGGTATGAAGTGATAGAATAACCTTCCTGTACGGTACCTTCCAGTCTGACAGAGAAGGCTACAGGTATGAAGTGATAGACTAACCTTCCTGTACGGTACCTTCCAGTCTGACAAAGAAGGCTACAGGTATGAAGTGATAGACTAACCTTCCTGTACATTACCTTCCAGTCTGACAGAGAAGGCTACAGGTATGAAGTGATAGACTAACCTTCCTGTACGGTACCTTCCAATCTGACAGAGCAGGCTACAGGTATAAAGTGAATGACTAACCTTCCTGTACGTTACCTTCCAGTCTGACAGAGCTGGCTACAGGTATGAAGTGATAGACTAACCTTCCTGTACGGTATCTTCCAATCTGACAGAGCAGGCTACAGGTATGTAGTGATAGACTAACCTTCCTGTACGATACCTTCCAGTCTGACAGAGCAGGCTACAGGTATGAAGTGATAGAATAACCCTCCTGTACGTTACCTTCCAGTCTGACAGAGCAGGCTACAGGTATGAAGTGATAGAATAACCTTCCTGTACGGTACCTTCCAGTCTGACAGAGAAGGCTACAGGTATGAAGTGATAGACTAACCTTCCTGTACGGTACCTTCCAGTCTGACAAAGAAGGCTACAGGTATGAAGTGATAGACTAACCTTCCTGTACGGTACCTTCCAGTCTGACAGAGCAGGCTACAGATATGAAGTGAAAGAATAACCTTCCTGTACGGTACCTTCCAGTCTGACAAAGAAGGCTACAGGTATGAAGTGATAGACTAACCTTCCTGTACGGTACCTTCCAGTCTGACAGAGAAGGCTACAGGTATGAAGTGATAGACTAACCTTCCTGTACGGTATCTTCCAATCTGACAGAGCAGGCTACAGGTATGAAGTGATAGACTAACCTTCCTGTACGATACCTCCAGTCTGACAGAGAAGGCTACAGGTATGAAGTAATAGACTAACCTTCCTGTACGGTACCATCCAGTCTGACAGAGCAGGCTACAGGTATGAAGTGATAGACTAACCTTCCTGTACGTTACCTTCCAGTCTGACAGACAAGGCTACAGGTATGAAGTGATAGACTAAACTTCCTGTACGTTACCTTCCAGTCTGACAGACAAGGCTACAGATTTGAAGTGATAGACTAACCTTCCTGTACGGTACCTTCCAGTCTGACAGACAAGGCTACAGGTATGAAGTGATAGACTAAACTTCCTGTACGTTACCTTCCAGTCTGACAGACAAGGCTACAGATTTGAAGTGATAGACTAACCTTCCTCTACGGTACCTTCCAATCTGACAGAGCAGGCTACAGGTATAAAGTGAATGACTAACCTTCCTGTACGTTACCTTCCAGTCTGACAGAGCTGGCTACAGTTATGAAGTGATAGACTAACCTTCCTGTACGTTACCTTCCAGTCTGACAGAGCAGGCTACAGGTATATAGTGATAGACTAACCTTCCTGTACGGTACCTTCCAGTCTGACAGAGAAAGCTACAGGTATGAAGTGATAGAATAACCTTCCTGTATGGTACCTTCCAGTCTGACAGAGCAGGCTACAGGTATGAAGTGATAGACTAACCTTCCTGTACGGTACCTTCCAGTCTGACAGAGCAGGCTACAGGTATGAAGTGATAGACTAAACTTCCTGTACGTTACCTTCCAGTCTGACAGAGAAAGCTACAGGTATGAAGTGATATACTAACCTTCCTGTACGGTACCTTCCAGTCTGACAGAGCAGGCTACAGGTATGAAGTGATAGACTAACCTTCCTGTACGGTACCTTCCAGTCTGACAGAGAAAGCTACAGGTATGAAGTGATAGAATAACCTTCCTGTACGGTACCTTCCAATCTGACAGAGCAGGCTACAGGTATAAAGTGAATGACTAACCTTCCTGTACGTTACCTTCCAGTCTGACAGAGCTGGCTACAGGTATGAAGTGATAGACTAACCTTCCTGTACGGTATCTTCCAATCTGACAGAGCAGGCTACAGGTATGTAGTGATAGACTAAACTTCCTGTACGATACCTTCCAGTCTGACAGAGCAGGCTACAGGTATGAAGTGATAGAATAACCCTCCTGTACGTTACCTTCCAGTCTGACAGAGCAGGCTACAGGTATGAAGTGATAGAATAACCTTCCTGTACGGTACCTTCCAGTCTGACAGAGAAGGCTACAGGTATGAAGTGATAGACTAACCTTCCTGTACGGTACCTTCCAGTCTGACAAAGAAGGCTACAGGTATGAAGTGATAGACTAACCTTCCTGTACATTACCTTCCAGTCTGACAGAGAAGGCTACAGGTATGAAGTGATAGACTAACCTTCCTGTACGGTACCTTCCAATCTGACAGAGCAGGCTACAGGTATAAAGTGAATGACTAACCTTCCTGTACGTTACCTTCCAGTCTGACAGAGCTGGCTACAGGTATGAAGTGATAGACTAACCTTCCTGTACGGTATCTTCCAATCTGACAGAGCAGGCTACAGGTATGTAGTGATAGACTAACCTTCCTGTACGATACCTTCCAGTCTGACAGAGCAGGCTACAGGTATGAAGTGATAGAATAACCCTCCTGTACGTTACCTTCCAGTCTGACAGAGCAGGCTACAGGTATGAAGTGATAGAATAACCTTCCTGTACGGTACCTTCCAGTCTGACAGAGAAGGCTACAGGTATGAAGTGATAGACTAACCTTCCTGTACGGTACCTTCCAGTCTGACAAAGAAGGCTACAGGTATGAAGTGATAGACTAACCTTCCTGTACGTTACCTCCAGTCTGACAGAGAAGGCTACAGGTATGAAGTGATAGACTAACCTTCCTGTACATTACCTTCCAGTCTGACAGAGCAGGCTACAGGTATGAAGTGATAAAATAACCCTCCTGTACGGTACCGTCCAGTCTGACAGAGAAGGCTACAGGTATGAAGTGATAGACTAAACTTCCTGTACGTTACCTTCCAGTCTGACAGACAAGGCTACAGATTTGAAGTGATAGACTAACCTTCCTGTACGGTACCTTCCAGTCTGACAGAGAAGGCTACAGGTATGAAGTGATAGACTAACCTTCCTGTACGTTACCTTCCAGTCTGACAGAGCTGGCTACAGGTATGAAGTGATAGACTAACCTTCCTGTACGTTACCTTCCAGTCTGACAGAGCAGGCTACAGGTATATAGTGATAGACTAACCTTCCTGTACGTTACCTTCCAGTCTGACAGAGCTGGCTACAGGTATGAAGTGATAGACTAACCTTCCTGTACGTTACCTTCCAGTCTGACAGAGCAGGCTACAGGTATATAGTGATAGACTAACCTTCCTGTACGGTACCTTCCAGTCTGACAGAGAAAGCTACAGGTATGAAGTGATAGAATAACCTTCCTGTATGGTACCTTCCAGTCTGACAGAGCAGGCTACAGGTATGAAGTGATAGACTAACCTTCCTGTACGGTACCTTCCAGTCTGAAAGAGCAGGCTACAGGTATGAAGTGATAGACTAAACTTCCTGTACGTTACCTTCCAGTCTGACAGAGAAAGCTACAGGTATGAAGTGATAGAATAACCTTCCTGTACGGTACCTTCCAGTCTGACAGAGAAGGCTACAGGTATGAAGTGATAGAGTAACCTTCCTGTACGTTACCTTCCAGTCTGACAGAGCAGGCTACAGGTATGTAGTGATAGACTAACCTTCCTGTACGTTACCTCCAGTCTGACAAAGAAGGCTACAGGTATGAAGTGATAGAGTAACCTTCCTGTACGGTACCTTCCAGTCTGACAGAGAAGGCTACAGGTATGAAGTGATAGACTAACCTTCCTGTACGGTACCTTCCAGTCTGACAGAGAAGGCTACAGGTATGAAGTGATAGACTAACCTTCCTGTACGTTACCTCCAGTCTGACAAAGAAGGCTACAGGTATGAAGTGATAGAATAACCTTCCTGTACGTTACCTCCAGTCTGACAGAGCAGGCTACAGGTATGAAGTGATAGACTAACCTTCCTGAACGTTACCTCCAGTCTGACAGAGAAGGCTACAGGTATGAAGTGATAGAATAACCCTCCTGTACGTTACCTTCCAGTCTGACAGACGTTGTGCAGTAGAAGTGGAGGAGTACGGACAGGGCACAGCCGTCTGTGTTGTCCTTTAGCAGATTGTCCACCAGGGGGAGTGATGGAGCTGACCTCTGCTGGGCATGCTCCCTCCTGCAGCGGGCCTGTAGCCATGGCAACAACAAGACGGAGAGATTACGGTCAGTGATATACAGTTAATGTATGGAATTAGAGTAAGGACCGGGAGGTATGGATTCATATAAAGGCTCCTCACACACAAATGTACACCAGCACTCTGTCACGCACAGATGCACAGTCACAAGCACACACTCTTTCTCTCGCTCTCGCTCTCACACACACACACACAAACACACACACACACCCCTCATACAGTAGTTTAGTCTGGGGTTTTTCCAAGCAACAAAGGGTTCAGACTAAACAGTTAGTCGGGTGTCGCTGCATGCAAAGAAAACAGACGGTGGAGACATTGACGGATCGACCAATGCCATCTTTACTAGGCTACTTGACATTGACGGATCGACCAATGCCATCTTTACTAGGCTACGTGACATTGATAGATCGACCAATGCCATCTTTACTAGGTGACATTGTCCTGTACGGCAAAGATGCTGTATCGTTGTTGAATGTAAAAACAGTCAGGCACCCAGGCTACACTTCCACTACCATAACCAGGATGAGTTACTGTACTGTAATTACACGTAGGTGTTACTGTTCATTGATTTACACATTGAGCTACATGAACCATTAGGACCAGATCAATCTACTGTACTACTATTTCCTACAGGTATAAATCTACTGTGCTACAGTATCCTACAGGTATAAATCTACTGTACTGTGGTGTCCTGCAGATGGAGATACACTGAGTGTACAAAACATTAAGAACACCTGCTCTTTCCATGACATAGACTGACCAGGTGAATCCTGGTCAAAGCTATGATCCCTTATTGATGTCACTTGTTAAATCCACGTCAATCAGTGTAGATGAAGGGGAGGAGACAGGTTAAAGAAGGATTTTTTATCCTTAAGACAATTGAGACATGGAATGTATATGTGTGTCATTCAGAGGGTGAATGGGCAAGACAAAAGATGCATTCAGAAAATATTCAGACCCCTTACCTTGTTCCACATTTTGTTACATTACAGCCTTATTCTAAAATTGATTAAATTGTTTTTTTCCCTCATCAATCTACATACAAGACCCCATAATGACAAAGCAAAAACAGGTTTGTAGTAATTTCTGCAAAAAATAATAATAATAAAAAAATATATATATATATTTGTCACATGCGCCGAATACAACCTTACTGTGAAATGCTTACTTACAAGCCCTTAACCAACAATGCAGTTTTAATAAAAATGTTAAGTAAAAAATGGATAACTAAAAAATAAAAATAATTAAAGAGCATCAGTAAAATAACATTTACATAAGTATTCAGAACCTTTGCTATGAGACTCGAAATTGAGCTCAGGTGCATCCTGTTTCCCTTGATCGTCCTTGATGTTTCTACAACTTGATTGGAGTCCACCTTCGATGCAACGCAATTTTAGGAAGGTGTTCCTAATGTTTTGTACAGTCAGTGTATATCATCTGTAGATCTGTAGATCTGCCTCTCTCAGGGCCTATAACACCTCGGTACATCCACTGGTTCCCCTTTCTGCTCTCAGTCTGACCCTTAATACAGAGGGACAGGCCGGGCGTCCATTACTTTACTAGAGGGCTGAGTGGTAAAATCACACCATGACTGGTTCTCACTCAGAGAGGAGACCTTTGGGGGATGTGTTGCATTTTATCTGATGTAGCATTGAAGTGCACTATGAGCTTTTCCATACAGTTCTTGTTCATGTTATTCAGTATCTGTAACAAACAACATGGGAGCTAACCAGGGAAGGAGCGGGCCGGACATCACCAGTGGGGGTTGGAGGGTAGTTAGCACCTGCTCCAGCAATGCATGATGGGATACAAGCATTGGCAAACCCAAAACTAAGGATAGAGGGGGCTGCAGGTGGGATAGGGTCATGGTCTGGTGCAAGGCAAGGAGAGAATGATTAGGGAGTTTGGGGGAAGGGGGGGTCTGGGGAGAGGGAGAGGCTGATAGATAGCCTTACAGGTACCAGTCTCCAATACCATTTGTCTGGAGCCTATGAGATAACAATGGGCACAATGACAACAAGAGGAAGAGAGGGGAGAACCATCAGGCCTAGGAAGGCTCAGGTCTACAGAGAGGAGAGCACGATCAGGCCTAGGAAGGCTCAGGTCTACAGAGAGGAGAGAACCATCAGGCCTAGGAAGGCTCAGGTCTACAGAGAGTGGAGAACCATCAGGCCTAGGAAGGCTCAGGTCTACAGAGAGTGGAGAACCATCAGGCCTAGGAAGGCTCAGGTCTACAGAGAGGAGAGAACCATCAGGCTTAGGAAGGCTCAGGTCTACAGAGAGGAGAGAACCATCAGGCCTAGGAAGGCTCAGGTCTACAGAGAGGAGAGAACCATCAGGCCTAGGAAGGCTCAGGTCTACAGAGAGTGGAGAACCATCAGGCTTAGGAAGGCTCAGGTCTACAGAGAGGAGAGAACCATCAGGCCTAGGAAGGCTCAGGTCTAAATGGGGCTTAGGTGGTGGGCTTTGCTGGGGCGTGGCCATGGGAGCGGACAATGGTGCGGTCGCCGACCTAACATTTTAGAGGCCCTACTGTTGGCCGCAGTGACAAAATGTGCAGTTTTAAAGCACATTTCCTGCAATTCTACACATTTTGCAGTGACTCAAACATTATAACAAAATCAACCCATGCCATGACAAAAATACTCCTGTATGCATAATTTTAAAAAATGTAGATTCTCCCTGACTGTCTAGCTTTTATTTAGGTGATTGTTAGTTCTCAAAGATGATCTTATTGAAAAATATATTAGTCCATGATCTTTTCTACATATTTTAAATCTGGTTTTAGTCCTTTAAGTTTACACAGAATATTTGTATTTTTTTTGGGACACGGGTGAAAGAACACATAGGTGGCCCGGCCAAGACTTTTCTATGCAGAAAAAGCCCTGCATCCAGACCAGTGGGAGGTATGAAGCTGATAGATTCCCTCCCTATACGTCCTATTCAATCTGAAATTACCCAGTGGCTACTGTGAGTGTCTCCTTTGTCAACAACTGACAAAGAGTACTCAAAAGACAATGTTCTCACACACGCACGCACGCACACACACACACACACACACACACACATACGCGCACACACACACACACACACACCTACAACCCCCCCCCCCCCCTCCCTTCATCAGATGAAGTCACACACACAACCCTTAAATAGAGACAGTTGTTGTTTGTAAATAGAAAGGGGTTGTTGTTTGTGTTCAAGAAGTGAAACTAAATCTACTACTTCGTCTGCTTCCCAAATGGCACACTATTTCCTATATAGTGCACTAACTTTTACCAGGGCCCATATGGCTCTGGTCAAAAGTAGTGCACTATGTAGGGAATAGGGTGCCATTTGGGAACGCAACCTTCTTTACAGTGAATAGACAGCCCTGTCTGTGTTGACTCTGATGAAGGCAGTGATAGATAGGGTTGTGTTACAGCAGCTAATTGGGAGCTTACAGTTCTTCTCTGGCTGAGGGAATCGTTCCCAGCAGGAACTCCTTGTTTTCCACTTTGAAAAGGATAGTGTGTGTGTGTGTGTGTGTGTACGTGGAGTGGAGGTGGGGGTGGGGTGTGGGGGCTGTGTGTGTGTGTGTGTGTGATGGTTTATGACTGTGTTTTCAGCTCAGATAAGGAGATCTCTCTCTTAATACAGCAGAGCCACAGAGAGGACAGTTGTAGTAGGTAGATGTGATGAATGAGAAAAGGTCTTCTGACGTCACTGTGTGACTCTTTGAAGAGCAACTACCTCTGTAATAGTTCCCCAACTGTAACAGAGTTAAGCTCTAGTCACAAGACACACAACCTTTGCCTTTCAAAAGGCACAGTTTGGTTGATTTACCCTTTATTTAACCAGGTCAATCTAATAATCTAACATTGTATCTACAATAACAACTTTGCTAGCAATCATATCCTTTGTTTTCACAGTGAGCTGACTGTTTACCAATAAGGAATTTTGATCTGGCTACATGGAAACAATAGTTAAAGATCAAGTTATTTTTGGTTTGAACTTTGACCTCTCAGACAGGGTCGTGACCTGACACAGGTCTCTGTGAGCGAGATGATGACAGTCTCTTTGTTCTGTCAGCAGTAGAGACCAGAGGAGTGACTCAGACTGTCACATACATTTTACAGACGCTCTTATCCAGAGCAATAAGGGTTAAGATGCCTTGCTCAAGGGCACATCGACAGATTTTTCACCTAGTTGGCTCAGGGATTCGATCTAGCGACCTTTTGGTTACTGGCCCAACTCTCTTAACCGCTAGGCTACCTGCTACTTGCCTACATACTTACCTACCTACCTACCTACATTCTTAGAAAAAGGGTTCTAAAAGGGTTCTTCGGCTGTCCCCATAGGAGAACCCTTTTTGATTCCAGGTAGAACTATTTTTGGTTCCAGGGAGGGTTCTACATGGAACCCAAAAAGTTTCTAACTAGAACAAAAAAAAGGGTTCTCCTATAGGGACAGCCGAAGAACCCTTTTGTAATATTTTTTTCTAAGAATGTAGGCCTTACATAAATACCTGCAGTGCAGTGCAGTCTCTCTCTCTCGCTCTCGTAGTGTAGCAGTGTCTCTCTATACAGCTGGCATGAGACTGAGTTGATGTTTTCTGTTAGCAGGGGGAATGTGTGTACTCACCCTATGTGATCCAGTAGCTGTGGTCTCAAGGCAAGAGCTCTCTCTCAACCTCTGCTCCTCCACCAGAATCTCCCTGAGGTGCTCATTCACCTAGAGAGAGAGAGAGAGAGAGAGAGAGAGGAGAGGGAAGCAGAGTACTGAGACTGCGAGGAGAGAGAGGAGGTGGAAGAGGGACGAGGAGGAGAGAAGGACAAGAGAGAGAGCCGACGAGAGGATGAGAGAAGAGCTGACGAGAGAGGAGAGAGAGAGAGAGAGAGAGAGAGAGAAGGGGGGAAGAAGGAGAGGGCCACATTACCAACAAGTAATGAGGGGGAGTGAATGTAGAGGTTTGGTTTTTGTGTGTGTGTAAGTGAGAGAGAAAGAGAGGAA